AGGGCCCCCCACGGCTGCTCCGGCACCTTCAGGAAGGTCTGGCAGCATGGAGAAGGTGGTCACCGTCTTTCCAAGCCCATGGAAGAGAGCTTAATGCCCCAAGGATATGGGGAAGGGAGAGGGCTGCTATTTATGGAGAAACACCAGGAGCATGGCAAAGGGCTACCTTCTCCCTTCCAGCCTGGTTTTCTTCCAGCTGGGATGGGGTCTCTCAGCGAGGTGGGACCTGGGCTTTTTGCAGGGTGCAGTAGTGTTTGGGCACCGGCTTGGATCAGCCAAGGGAAGAGTTTTGTTCTGGGTTTTAACCCTGACGGGACAAGATGCGCTTGAAATCCTCAAGTGATGGGTCATGTCTTGAGGACCAGAGGACCTACCACTGTCCCCACTTCTCTGTGGCATCCCGATGGCCCAGGAGAGGCTGACTTACGCTTACGGAGAGCTACCTGCCTGACCTGGCACAAGTGCACGCACTCCCGCACGATGTCTGAGCTGGGCTAAGAGGATTACAGCCCTGTTACGTGATGTTAATGTGCTGGCTGTGGCGAAGCAGCTTCACGTGCGGTGGGGAAGGGGAGCTCTGAGCTCCCTCCCGTGTTGTCCCCTCCTCCTGGGAGGCTGTCCACAGGAGCAGAGCCAAGGCATGACCCAAGCACCTGTGCTCTGTCTCTGAAGCAGCAGAAAGTCATTAAGAGCAGCTAAGCTTCATTTCACAGTAATGAACTCAATGGGGGCTCTGAGAGGGGAGGTACAAAGTCAGCTGGAGGCTCTTGGAGAAGACCCTGCTGCAGATGTGGGGCTGTATCCCAGCACTCCTCATGGTAGTGAGGGCTGGGCATGTCCTTATTTAACCTCTCACGGTGGCACCATGCTGAGTTTTCTCTTTTCTCCCTCCTTTCGCCCCTGTCGTGGCTGCCGCCGAGTGCAGCAGGAGCTGCCAGCCCGCACCAATGGCTCAGCGCCCACCGCCCCGGCGCTCGCCCGTGACACCCTCCACAGCAAGATGGAGCAGCTGGAGGAGCAGCTCCTCTCCAAGATCCTGACCCTGCAGAAGGAGCGCCAGGCTGCCAGCACCGACCACAGCCAGCAGCAGCACAACATCGAGAAGGAGCTGAACTCCCTCCAGAACCGGGTGACAGAGCTGGAACACGGTGAGTCCTGCCCGACAGGGATGGAGATGGTGTGTGTGTGTGGGGGGGGGTTCCTGGGACAAGCAACCCTCATCCCAACCATGGGTGCTGATCCTCCTCTCTCCTCCCTGTCCTTGATGTCTAGGACCGCCAGGCTACAGCCCTCCCGACGCCTTCAAGGTGACCATCCCAGTGCAGAACAACTACATGTACGCCCGCATGAAGAAGAGCCTGCCAGAGCTCTACGCCTTCACCATCTGCATGTGGCTGAAGTCCAAGGCCCTGGCAGGGCTCGGCACCCCTTTCTCCTACTCCGTCCCAAGCCAAGCCAACGAGATCGTGCTGCTGGAGTGGGGCACCAACCCCCTGGAACTGCTCATCAATGACAAGGTCAGTACAGCCAGAGGGGGGATGGGAGGGAAGACATTGCCCTCATCTCCCTTGCTTCAGTCCTCCTGGGAAAGGATGCTCCTGGGAGTACCGGGGTGGCAGAGCTGGGAGGAAGGAGCCTGGGGTGGAGGGGGGAGGCAGGAGGATGAGGAGGATAGGGAGGATGGCTCACCAGGCTGGGTTTTGACAGGGAGAAGCAGCACATCCGGATGTCTGTAGAATTTGGGGTGCCTCCACTGTGGGGGTGCAGCGCTTGCTCTGCAAGGGGCTGGGGGGATGCCGGGGTCCTCTGGCAGTCCCACCAAGTGCCAGGCTCTTGCTCTTCTCATGAAGGTTGCCCAGCTGCCGCTGAGCCTGAAGGACAAGGCCTGGCACCACGTCTGCGTGGCATGGACCACTCGGGATGGCAAGTGGTCGGCATACCAGGATGGCGAGCAGCGGGGCGCCGGCGAGAACTTGGCCTCCTGGCACGCCATCAAGCCGCAGGGCGTCATCATCCTGGGCCAGGAGCAGGTACGTGCCGGCCCACCGCAGAGGGCTGCCGGTTTGCATCCCTCCGTTGCAAAGCTGGCTGGGGGGGCAGCCCCCAAATGGGGCGAGGGTGGGGCAGGGCGTGTTGGCAGCGTGGGCGAGGGCCTCTCCTGCCTCCTCATCTGACCTCCGGGCAGGCCGTGTGTGCTCATCATCTTCTCCTCTTCCCTTTCCCCATCCCTCTGTCCCCCATTTGCTTTGTCTGCTTGCATCTCCCCCACGCGTCCATCCCTTCCCCTCCTTGCCTCCGGGCATCTCGCTCTGCTTCTCCCCCTCTCCTCCACCCTGTTTGCCTGGCGGATGTGCATCCCTTCTCCCACCCCATCCCTGTCCCATCACCTCTCCCGCTCTTTCCCAGGACACGCTGGGCGGCCGCTTTGACGCCACGCAGGCCTTTGTGGGAGAGCTGGCACAGTTCAGCGTGTGGGACCACATGCTGGCACCGGTGGAGATCCTGGGCTTGGCCAACTGCACCTCCCACCTCCAAGGCAACGTGATCCAGTGGGATGACCAGGCGGTGGAGGTCTTTGGGGGCGCCAGCAAGGGGGGCTTCACCGCCTGCGAAGAAGGGAGGAAGGCGTGAGTGGTCCCTCATCCCCTCCCCAGTGCCAAGGAGCCCGGCGGCAGCCCCAAAGGAGACAGCAGGGAGCCCCTTTCTCCCTTCCCAGACCGCTGAGCCTTGCTGCTGCACCGGGGCAATGCTCAAGCCCCCCGTGCCGGCGTCCTGGGAGGGAGGGGGTGGCCCCTGGCAGCCTCCCTTTTGCCCTCATGTTGGCAGCGTGGCTTGTCCCCTCTTCCAGCACGCCTGCCCCTGGGTCTCGCCTTGCCCTGCTTCTGTTTCAGGAGGACCTCACCGTACCCACAGGCGTCTCCGGTACGGCGAGGGTCCCCGCCTTGTCGGCCCCAACAGGGAGCGGGAAGGAGACCTCCATCCACCCCAAGTGTGGTCCGGCCTCGGTGGGATGCCAGCGTGCAGGCATCCCCTGAGCACATCCACTTTCCTTATTTATTTCTAGTGCCCCACTTCTAGCGCTCACACGGTTTTGTGAGCCCGTACTCCCAATGGCCGTGAGCATCTTCCCTGCCGGGCCCATCCCCTCTTCTCCTGCCGCCCTTGTTTTTCAAGCGCAGCCCCGGGGAGGCAGAGGGAGGATGGCGGAGGGTCAGCGGGGCGGTGCTCCCCTCCTGCACCCCTTCCGCAGCCTCTGCTGCCTGTTCAGGCAGGGCTGCCCAAGGGGAGTGAGGCTTTTCAGGCAGAGGGAAGCAGGGTGAGACCCCCCCCAGCTGGGGTGTTGGTCAGCCACCGAGGGAACGGGGGAAAGGGACAAAGCATCTCCCCCAGTCCTGGCTGAGGGGAGGGAGTGCAGCACTGCCATCGAAGGGAGCGAAAGCAAAAAAAACCCAAGAAGATGGAGGATGGTGGTGGCCGAAGGAGCCCTGCTGTCCGTCCCCTTGCCGTTTGGGCGCTGAATTGGGTTGCTGCCCTTGCCTCTGCCTGGGACCCCTGCTTTGAGCTCCTCCTGGCCAGGGATGGGGCTGCCACTGCCCTTGGAACTGGGGGGTGATGGGGTGGGCAGGTATTTTCCCCGTGGAGTGCCTGAGAATATGCTGTTTCCATGCCGTGTGGTCACCAATGTCTCGGTACGTGAGTGTGTGTGCGTGTGTGTGTCTGGGGGTGGGAGGGTTATTCCGGGGGTCTCATGGTTGCTCAATGCAATGTCCAGCTTCCAGTGCTCCCCCCCTCCCCAAGTCCCACTTTGTGCTTTCGGCGGCGGCTGCCCCCCAGTCCAGGGGAGGCGAAGCGGGCAGAGGGCACAGCCCTGCCACCCAGCATCGCCCCCCTGCAGGGTCCCCACTGGCAGCGGGGCAGCTCAGCCAGCCAGGGGGGACACGGTGGGGACGGGGCACAGCCCTCGTGCCAAGTGGGAAACACTGTGACCTTCGTGCACCCCGCTGAGCTGCCCCCTCTTCCTCGCTCGCTCACGCGCTTTCTCTAATGCACGTTCATGAAAGGGGCCGCTGACGCGCGCCCGTGTTGGGACATTTCTTTTGTAAAGCTGATCGTGAACAATAAACGTGACGTTTTCTGTTCGAGCCTTCCGCGGGGCGTGAGGTTGCTGCGGGGACAGAGGGGACGGGCTGGCCCAAGCTGAGGTGTCCTTCCCCGGGATGTGCAGGGGGGCATCCCTGGAGGGAGACAGCCAGCCACGTAGCTGGCATTGCAGAAATATCATCACAAGGGCCTGGGTATCATTGCCCCGGGCAGTGTGTGGGGGGGGTGGGACAGTCTAGGCACCCCTCATCTATCCCATCGTGGAGCAGCATGGGGTACAGGCTGCTGCTGGGGGCTCGGGGGAAGCACTGCTCCGTGGAGGAGGAACCCCCATCCCCACGACAGGGGAGCAGAAACCAGTGGGAAACCACGACCTCCAGGTCAGACTGTGATGGCGAGGAGCTCACGTGGGGTATAAATCTAATTAAGTACTAGTAATGAGTTCCTGACCTAGCTAGCCATGAGCTGGTTTGCCTGCGGCACAGCTCTTGGAGCTGCCTATTCTAGAGCAGCCCGTGGCCCTTTTTGCACGATGCTTTTGCCCCTCAGTGGCTCCTGTCCCTCCTAGGAAAGGCACAGCCTCACCCGTATTTGGGGAAACCAGAGGAGAAAGCCAGAGGACCCAGTTTTCCCCAGGGCCCTGCCATTGCTGGCGTGCCAGTGGGGTCTCCTCGCTGAGCCAGAACCATCCCCACAGCTCCCGCTGCTCCTTCTGAAGGGTATTTAATGCCATAAAACAAGCTCTGGGGCTCTCGCCTTCAGCCCTTCAGCACACCTCCTCGAAGTTGAGGGTGTTTTTTTAAGAAAAAAAAACCTCTTGAGTACATACTTCAGCTGGAGCATACACTCAAGGGCTTTGCAGAGCTGGATGCTCACCCCCACATCACTAACAGGAGGGGGTTCAACAGGTGACCCCTGCTTGTCCGCCCAAATAACAGCAGCATAATTAGGAAGGACGGCACCTTTTGGAGGAGGAAATGTCCAAAACCATTGCTGGGGCCTCAGACTTAGAAGGAGGTGAAAAAAGGGGGGGACTGGTCCTATTAAAACCGCAGGAGCCCTGCAAGGGGGCTTTTGAGGCTGCCGGCCAAGGCAGAAGACGTGCGGGAGGATGAAGAAGGATGGAAACAGCCTGGCCGCTGGTGCAGGATGTTGGCATAAAACCTGTTCCTCTGGAGCCCGGAAACCCAGCCCATGCCAAAATCTGTGTGAACCCCGCCACCGGAAAAACAGAAACAAAAAGGGACACCGGGAGATGCTCGGGCAGGGATTGCCCTCCGTCTCCACGCCAGACCACTGGCGCAGTCCCAGCCCCAGCCGTGTCCCCAGGACGTGTGGATCTGTCAGTTCTGGGATGGGAAAAAGGGGGGAGCCCAGTGGCACAGATTCTGCAGGGCCACCTCCTCTCCCCCCAGAGGATCCCAGCCAGTTGCACAGACCAGGGGGACACAGGAATAGTTGATATAATTTATTCAGACATTTTAAAAGCTTACGGCAAACACCTCTGTATAAGGCTCTTCAGGAACCGAAGGCATTACGGAGAGATTAGAAACCAGCATGGAGACAGAAAATCAAGAGTAGGAATAAATATTTGATTTCCATCCTGCCCTGACTCTCTGCAGGATGCAGCGGCTGCTTCTCACCCATCTGGGGAGGAAGAGAGCAAGAAGGGACCATTTATTTTTGGTAAGCCGAGTCTTGCAAGAGCTACAAACCTGCGACAGGGCTTTTAAAAGGTGGAGGAGACAACAAATCAATGGCGTTGCTGGCTGGAAGGAGTAATTACAATGACTTACGCATATTGCTTGCTTCTAAATTAACCAGGAACACTCAAGAGAAGACCCACATCTCTCTAAGGGCAGTCGGATGGAAAACAACGCGTTGCGCACAGACGAGGCAAGGAACAACAAAGTCACCCTTGGGGAGGGGTTAAAGAAGGAAATTCTTAACAACGGCGTGGAGAAGGTTTTGCAGTTGGGGTAGGTGTGCTCAGCTTGGATGCTGTGTTGTGTCCGGATAACTAAGATTGGGGGGGGGGGAAAGGGGGAAAGGGCTGAAGGCAACCCCCGATGGGG